GCTGGATCGGAGCAATCTCACGCTCGATGGAACAAGCCATGGTGCCCTCCTCTATTTTCATGCTGATTCTTGTCATCTACACGGGCTTCACGATCCCAGTGCGGGATATGCATCCATGGTTCAAGTGGCTGAACTATCTGAATCCGATCGGTGTAAGTTTCATCTCTTTGTTCCAATTTCTGAGACTCGGCTAAAGCAGAAGATAGTATGCGTTCGAGTCTCTCATGATCAACGAGTTCAGTGATAGAAGATTCCCTTGCGCTCAATATGTGCCCGCTGGCCCGGGTTACGAGAATGTTCCTCTTAGCTCACAAATTTGCTCTCAGAAGGGCGCCGTAGCTGGACAAGACTACATTGAAGGTGACGCATTTATCAATACTTCATATCGGTATTACAGCTCGCATCTCTGGCGGAATTATGGTATTATATTGGCTTTCTTTTTCTTCTTCCTCGCTGCCTACATCATCTGCAGCGAGTTAGTCCGTGCTAAACCCTCCAAAGGGGAAATCTTGGTTTTCCCTCGAGGGAAGATACCTGCATTTGTCAAGAAGGCCCGGCGCGATGGTGATCTGGAAAGAGCTCCGATCTCAGAGAAGCAGCAGCTGGATAACGCGGGTCACGACAGCACCGCTGCAATCGTCAAGCAAACCTCGATCTTCCACTGGCAAGACGTATGCTACGACATCAAAATCAAAGGCGAAACACGCCGAATTCTGGATCATATCGATGGATGGGTCAAGCCAGGAACGTTGACAGCATTGATGGGTGTGACTGGGGCTGGTAAAACGTCATTGTTGGACGTCCTGGCTAATCGTGTTACCATGGGTGTGATCACCGGCGAGATGCTAGTTGACGGCCGCATGAGAGACGACTCCTTTCAGCGTAAGACTGGCTATGTTCAACAGCAGGACCTACACTTGGAAACAAGTACTGTCCGCGAAGCTCTTATCTTCAGCGCTACACTCCGGCAGCCAGCCAGCATACCGCACAAAGAGAAGCTAGCCTATGTCGAGGAAGTAATCAAGATGCTCAACATGGAAGAATACGCGGAGGCTGTGGTTGGAGTTCTTGGTGAAGGTCTTAATGTCGAGCAGAGAAAGCGGTTGACGATTGGAGTTGAAATTGCGGCTAAGCCAGACTTGCTGTGAGTAGTCAAAAAACCCAATTACTGTGGCCTCAGATTACTGACTACGCTGCGGGGACAGCCTGTTTTTTGACGAACCGACCTCAGGACTCGACAGCCAAACAGCGTGGTCGATTTGCACTCTCATGCGGAAACTGGCGGACCATGGGCAGGCCATTCTCTGCACCATCCATCAGCCATCGGCCATTCTGATGCAACAGTTTGATCGCCTGCTCTTCCTCGCCAAGGGTGGGAAAACGGTATACTTTGGCGAGTTGGGTCCCAACATGGAGACGCTAATCAAGTACTTTGAGAACAAGGGTTCTTCCAAGTGTCCTAAGCATGCCAACCCTGCCGAGTGGATGTTGGAAGTCATTGGTGCAGCACCCGGTTCTCATGCGGACCGGGACTGGACGGAAGTCTGGAATAGCAGCCCGGAACGAGCTCAAGTACGTGCAGAGCTCGCACAGATGAAAGCGGAATTACTACAGCGACCTCCGCCGACTCGGACCAAGGAGTATGGTGAATTTGCTATGCCTCTCTGGGCGCAGTTCCTGGTTTGCCTTCAGCGCATGTTCCAGCAATACTGGCGAAGTCCGTCGTACATATATTCAAAGGCTGCAACGTGTATCATTCCGGTGAGTGGCATTCCTCCCTGAGACGTGATATAGCCGTCATGTCTGACTATCAGCGCCCCAGCCCCTGTTCATTGGCTTCACATTTTGGCGGGAGCCGACCAGTTTGCAAGGCATGCAGAATCAAATGTTCGCCATCTTCATGCTGCTGGTCATCTTCCCCAACCTGGTCCAACAGATGATGCCGTACTTTGTAGCTCAGCGAGCCTTGTATGAAGTGCGCGAACGACCCTCCAAAGCGTACTCATGGAAAGCGTTTATGCTCGCGAGCATCCTGGTCGAATTACCCTGGAATATTTTAATGGCCGTGCCAACATATTTCTGCTGGTATTACCCAATCGGCCTCTATCGTAATGCGTATCCAACGAACAGCGTAACTGAGCGTGGTGGCACCATGTTCCTGTTGATTCTCATCTTCATGATGTTTACATCCACCTTCAGTTCGATGATCATTGCAGGCATTGAACAGCCAGAGACGGGTGGCAACATCGCACAGCTGCTGTTCTCACTTTGTCTCATCTTCAATGGGTACGAGAATCCCCTTGAAGCATGAAGAAGACAGCTATGACTGAGTTTGCTAACGTTTGACCTAGTGTACTAGCAAGTCCGTCGGCCCTCCCGGGCTTCTGGATTTTCATGTACCGGCTATCACCATTCACGTACCTTGTGTCGTCGGTGTTGTCGGTGGGTCTAGCTGGGACCACCGTCAAGTGCTCAGATATTGAAATCCTCCATGTTCCACCCCCACAAGGCCAGAATTGCTCGAGCTTCCTGGACGCATATGTACAGATGTCTCATGGCAGATTACTCAACCCGGAGGCAACCGCGAATTGCCAGGTCTGTCCAGTGGCAGACACGGATACTTTTCTGGCACAAGTGAACATCAGCTACTCAGATCGCTGGCGCAATGTGGGGCTTTTGTTCGTGTACATTGTGTTCAACATCTTCGCGGCTGTCTTCCTGTATTGGCTGATTCGGGTGCCCAAGAAAAGGTCTCGCAAGATCAAGGAGGAATAGGGGAGGCGCCTGGCTCATCGCTGTTCGTTAGCTGTGCTTCTGTGATGTATATGTACCTTGCATGACTTGCAGCACCGTTAGAGTCTTTATCTTGCAGCATATATGCACGGCCGCTATGATAGATGACAAACTATATATGCAGCAAGGCAATATACAGGTTATGTTTTCATCAGGTAGGATCACGTCAATGACGTGGGACGAGTCTCAATCTGTCATTAATTCGGGGATCCTATTCTCCACGAAGATCCTGAGTTATGTTCAGGCTAGATCTCTGCTCCTAGACGTACGAATATAAGAGGGACAGAGGAGGTACGAAATCAATGAGACAACATTCGACTGAGTAGGCCTAATTGTTGGTATGGAGGGAATCATCAGCCAAAAATGTACCCATATGCTGTCAAATCTTCCTCCTGCTCCTCTCCGATGAGATCTTGTAATTCATTATGCCAACTGCAAGCAAGTCCGTCCAGTGCAGCTAGTCACATGACAAGAGGGCAGAGTGTGCCTCGTCAGGCTCAATCCACCACCACCGTAATGTTTCACTACAGATTCCTGCTTTCAACTTGAACATAAACACAGCCCCAAAGCTTCTGATGCCGTCATGCTGTGCCAGCGTATCGACCCTCTCCAAGGTTGTTCTGAAGAGTACACTACACGGGTGATCTAGACCTTGTTGAGGCTTGGAGCAGAAACTCATGAGATGTGGAGTCGACAAGTTCGACTAAGGGAGATCAACAGGACAATGACGGTGTGCGTCCTTGTGATTGGCATTCTGTTCACCTGTGATGCACAAATGGGGAGAAAATGGCTCCCTGACAGGTGGGCCGAACCTTAGCGTGTCGGCGATATGAGCGCCCAAAAAGTACCAAAAAACAGGAAGGCGAAACAAGAAAAAGGAACCGACGGGGAAACCAGAGATCTGGACGGAAAAGGCAACGACCGACATGATCAAAATCTAATTGCGATGGGCCTCCATTTTTCCTCATCCAGTCAAGCACTCGCACTGTCCTCGAGTCATGAGAGAATGGTTTGGCCCCCGCTGGTCATCCCGGCCGCAGCGAGCTAATGCAACTGGTAGACAACACCGCCTATCGTCTAGGCGGATGTCTTCTCTCACTGGCTGTGATGGCTTTTCCTTGCGGTCTGCCTCTCTCCCCCACCATGAATACGGCGGGCGCTGGGCAACTGCTGGGCAAAAGAAGAAAAAGCAAATAACTACGTACTCTCACGGGTACTACTGTACTTTGACGGTGGCGACTGCAAGTCGTTTGCAAAATCTCCCCTCATTCGAATGTCGAAGCGGGCTGTGAGCATTTCTTGCATGCATAATGAAATTCCGGTAGACACACGACATCTACGCAATGATATCCACTGGGAGATGGCTTGGATGTCCAGATTCCAGAATATGGATCTTCAAGCGCTAAACTGGGTCTGTCTGGCGATATCCACGACAGTTGCCCAAACTAATTTAGATTCATGATTTAGCGTCATCCATGAAAGCGCTGAGCCATGTCCGAACCTGACCGACACTGACTAGGAGGGCGTCCCCAGGCGGGTCTGGGAAAGCGACGTTGACAGCCAATGAACCATGTAGACCCTGGTCTCATGTCTCTGAATTCTCCAATCACGAGTACTGCATCTCTGATCCTGGTATCTTTCCATCTCTTGAGGCCGATGGGTCTTACTCTTTCCGGCGGTCACTCAGGGGTCTCACCGTCTTACAGACTGAAGATGCTGACGATATAGACATTGAGAAGCACGAAAAAGGGGGTGAGTGAGAAGTTAATTATCTTCACCCAACATGATATTCCTCGTGGTCAAACTGCTGTCCGCCGAATGACCATCTGCCATGGGTCCCACACGGCCTGCGCGACTGGTCCTGTCATCTAGCTTGGTTTGTTTCCCAATCGACCCATACATGCGGTGACAAATCAGAGTCGAGCAGCTGTCAGGACACGAACGACCATGCCAAAGGGTGACTTGCGGCTCAACTGCGCCAAATCAGAGGATAGCATGGTTTATGCTCTGGGGATGCTGTGTATTGCCCTCCTGCGCCGCCCCATGGACCTCTCCTGCATATCGCAGTAGGCATATTGGCTGGAAATGCATTGCCCCCATTGTTCGGGAGACTATAAAGGATCTTGTCGTCTCTTTTCAGACTGCTGGTGGCTCCAATGTCCATGCTCAGTCCAAGGACGAACAAGCCCTTTGGACGTTATTGAAAAATGCATTCAAGCGCTTATGCAGACGTTTTTCCCACCACGCTCGGGAATCGTGCTTCATTTGAAGATTATGAGCTTTATCCATCCGATCCAGCCTACTTTCCGGACGCACCTCAATTCCAGCTGCGATCGTCCCAGCTCGAGAGCATTCCTAAATCTCATTACTTCCCCCCGTGTGCGTCGTGGACCGACGGATCTCTTCCGTCGCACATTGCTGGTCCTCTGTCGATGATGGAGACTGCTCTTCATCCTGTTCTCCTCGGACCAGATCGCGTCGCATCACCTTGGAGCAGCTACTCCTCAATTTCTGGTGCAGAAAGCCCTGGCAGCAGTGCTGATGGTAGCTTTGCGCAGTGCAACATGATGGAACCCTACCCGTCCCCACCCTATGCCTATGACGATATGGGAGGTTCCTCAGTCAAGGCAGAACATTATTCCTCGCCAGTGATGTCTGTCACTAGTTCGGTCGCTTTGCCTCAGATACAAACCTATCCTGACCCCGAACCGATGGTAGAATCATCCCATCCATTGACTGCGCCAGCTCATCACTTTGTTTACGAGGGAAACAACTGCTCGGAGGGATTAGAAACCGTACCAGCTCAAGCTCGTCGTTGCGGCTCGGATAGTCTGTCGGGCCACAAAACCCCTCCACCTTCCCTTCGACGTCGGAAGTCTCGCTGCACCCCTCAGAAGGGTTCATCACCAAATCGCGTTACCAAAAGGAAGACTCGGGTGAAGTCACACACTAAAGTAGCGTCAGCCTCGAAACAGCAACCCGCCAAGTCGTCGACCAAGGGCCACGTCTTCGTCTGCAGTTTCTCACACTACGGTTGCACAAGCTCCTTTGCCTCCAAGAACGAATGGAAGCGACACATTGCGTCTCAGCACGTCCAACTCGGCTTCTTCCGCTGCGACGTCGGCAACTGCAACGGCGGTCACAAACCCAACAACAAAACCTCCTCGACTTCCACCCGCAACCACCACGACCAGCCGGGCCACCAAACCAACGACTTCAACCGCAAGGATCTCTTCACCCAACACCAGCGCCGCATGCATGCACCCTGGGTCCTCGCGGGCCGGCCTGACGCCACCACCGAGCAGGAACGGCAAGCTTTCGAGGCCAGTCTCGAGGATGTCCGCGCCCGCTGCTGGCACGAGCAACGCAAGCCGCCCCAACAAAGTTCCTGTGGGTTCTGCGGGCACAATTTCTCTGGCCCGAACAGTTGGAATGACCGGATGGACCATGTTGGACGGCATTTCGAGAAGGACAAGACTCCTCTTGAGGAGGCCGAGGATATCGCCCTAAGGAGCTGGGCCATCAGTGAAGGGATCGTCCAGCGTGATGGTAAAGGACAGTGGGTGCTTACTGCTCTATGCTAATGATCTCCCTTCCATTCTTCGGCCATGCGACCATATTTTATTTCAATGCTTTGTTTTACTTTTTCCTTTTCGCCTTTCTTCTTGTCTCGGATTGATGACTTCGGCGTACCTTGCATGCACGTCTTTAACCACGCTATACCCCCAGGTTATATAGAAGGACTGGACCAGCTTGATGACTAACGATGGATATCCTGTATTGTTATGATGGATTTTGGACTTTCGATGTGCTTGCTGCATACATAATAATGAACTCTTGAACTCGTCTACTCCGCTCCTCCTACTCGTAGCGATATATAATAGCTACTGTATCTCTTGGTCTCATCTTGGCAGTGCGAAAGTGTACCTAGCACACATCACATTTGTCCGAAAATCAACATCAAGAATGATTCCAGGCGGGAATACCTCACTCTTGACTCGATCGGCTTCTTTGCCTTGGCGTCCCAAATTTCAAGATTCGATTCATGGGGTCGGTACAAATATATAAGAGCACTCCTGCTTCTGTTCTCGAAATAAATTATATACAAGTTCATAAACCGATTTTGGACTCAAATCATCTGTTGTCGACAGTGACCCATCCACTTTCTTAAAACGTTTTCTATATGATTTGTACAGATTCATTTGTTTCTTCATCAAACTATATAAGAGTTATCGCCTTGCAGATATCTATAAATGTACAAAACATGGCTCATATGTGCACCGTTCCAAAGAATCAGACCCTCGATGCGATGATTTGAAATATACAATAAGAGAGTCTGCTGAACCAAATCTGTTTGTGAGGCAGATGAATAGTTCCCAGAAGCCATGTCGCCTGCTGTGTAACCAACCAGTGGCTTCAGCAAAGACTGAACAGTGAGCGGCCAGATCTACGCCGCGGCTTGACTATCCAGAAGGTCAAGGGAGCCTGGAAGCTGGAACTCACCGCGTGGGTAGAATGAGGTCTTGAATGTACTGACAGTGCACTCTTGCTCGGAGCATTTTTGTCCCATGTCATGGTAGTTATGGGGTACACGAAGGTCCGAAGGAGTTGCGGACATATCGCGTGACTGGTTTGAAGCCAGCCGTGCCATTGAACGCCTTCGGCTTGTGATTGGCAGGCTGGTAGTTCGCAAGCTCAAGGGGGTGTCCGTGGGATTGATCCAGGGATGCGTCCAGGGGGACTCGGACCAGGATCTGGCGACACCACGATTATAGGGGAGCTGTCTCCCAGTGATGACTCTTCATCTGCCCTATTTAGAGCAGTGGATGACCTTATCCGACCACCACCGGCGTAAACTGGTTTTGGCACTTCGAGCGTGTTACTCCGGGCTCGTGAATGATTGCTAGTGGCATTTCCGGATGAAGAAGGATCCTGTAGGTCAAACGAGCTTCGATCGACTTGCGACATGCTAGCCTGCGATCTTCCGCCAACGCCCGGCGCAGGCGAAGCAGTCCTTGGGGTTGCCGGACTTCCCTCGAAGCCTCGCCGAGAGGAAATGCTGCCCGTGAAACTAGGCACCCGCGAAAGCCGATCGGGCGACCCTGATGCGCTGAACTCGTCTAGGTTTTGATCACGATTGTACTGCTTCCTTATCTTGTTCAATTCGCCGTTCCGGTTTTCCTCGCCGGGTATCTCTGGAAATCGCAGTGCTGGCCCGCTCTTGAAATCGGAGTTCTGATACCGATCATGTGCTGCAATGCTCATCCAATTGCTGAGAGCAAAAAGGCTTCGCGCAATTTTGCGCCGACTGCCCTGATCTTCTGTTGCAGAGCGCCTCAGCGGCCATCTACTATTTCGACTCATCGTATGCCCCACTTCTATCGACGAATCTCCGTCGCTGGGAGAATTGGGTCGATCCTGGACACAAGACGCCTCGGCACCATCCAGAATGCGCTCGCGCGGTGAAGGACCAGAGTAAGTGCTGCTAGCTTTTTCCTCCATATCCTCTTCCTGATCTTCAACTGCTGCTGCCAAGAACAGCGAGAGCGATCCAAGTACAGCAAGGCCAGCACCAACAATCGGGGCCCATTGGCCTACCCGCAAGTCAGGTACTGGTATATTTCCATAGATATATTCACGAAGAAACTTACCTATACTCTTCATATTCTCAGTTTGATATTTGACTTGTTCACTGAAAAAGTTCAGCTCGCCGATAATAATAATGACGAGGACCGCTGCCCCGAATATGGGCACCTCCACGACACTGAGAAACGACCTGATCATTTCATTGACCCTGTTCATTGCCCCAAGTGTTGCACCGTTCGTGCCCTCAATGACCTCGTCTTGCTTTTTGTTCCGGTCCGGATTGCCGAACCGCCTGGTCCAGTTGATCTCAAGAATCTTGTTCCACATCGACGCGAGCGAGAGAATGGCTGGAATGCAACATGCAGCAGCCAGCAGTGTCGCAGCGCCAAACGTAAGCTTCTCAGGTGCAGGGATGACGTAGATGTTATTTGCTGAGTCCTTTCGCATAGGCGAGAATGGGCCCGCATTGGTGGAGCAAGTAAGACCACACATAGTCGTACCGTAAACAAATTCCTTGGAGTCCTTGGATAACGGACGACCGTCGACCGTGCAGGGATGCAAATCGATCCGATAGAACTCGATTGTTAAGCTCAAAAGGCCTGCGGAGAGGTAAGTTTAGCAAGTGTACAACACTGCACCGCAGAGGAAACTTACCTGCAAGTATAAGACCAGTCCACAGAAAGATGATATTCCGGCCGGGTTCATTGAAGTACGTCTTGGATAGTCTAACGGTGACTGGAGCTGTCAAGATGCCGATTGAGCAAAGCTGAAAGGCCCCAAAAACATCCATATCGACAGCAGCTGAACAACACGGGCCGCCGGTTAGGATGTACGATATTCCAGACAGAAATATTGAGCTTACCGTCGATGTGCAGTGAGGCGAGTACAATACCATGAAGGGCTCCAACGGCCGGGAAAAGCAGTGCAGCGGCAAGACAGGCATTTCTGAGCCATTCCGCTCGGCGACCAAAGACGCAGGTTGTTATGAGAACATAGTACCTGTAATAGCAGAGGACCGCGAAGAGAGATATCAACAAATGCTGGTCACAAAGAAGTGGACACTAAAGAGTCCAAAGCTAGCGGATGAGCACGGCCACATACAGAATCCTTGTTCCTGGGCCATACTGGCCGGAGACTGGCCAGGCACAAATGACCTGCAGAGTGTCGCTGGCAGCGTTGGGGGTATCGAGCGTTCTATTGAGTTCCGTCGATAAATGGGATATTGCCGGCATAACTAGACATGGTATCGCACAAAGATCAATGCTTGTCCGTATAAGTGAATCAAGAGTCTGTGTATTTAAATTAGGTAGTTTGATTGTGGAGACACGAGTGGCCTAAGAGATGATTTATAGATCGGACTGTAGTCATTAGACTCGGTGCTAGGTCAACCTTTGACGCAGAAAGGTCGAGTCACTCTTCAAGAAGGAGGAAGAGGATTAGGAAGATCCCATCACTTCGGTAGCAATTGTCATTAGTGAGGCTAGCAGACGCGCGTAAGCAGACAGGTCTATAATCGGGCATCGCCTCGGCTAACAACGCCTACGATCCAAAATGACTGTAGATAGGTTGTCATTAGTACTTAGTGGGCGATTGTGCAAGAGATCACTGACAAATGTTGCATCTGTCAAATGTCTATCGCTCCCTCATTCGACTTATGATTCGCGTGAGTTGTTTGCGACAAATCAAGAAGACCCTGGGACACGAAGAGCCGAGTCCCGCCATGAGGCTCAACTTCGTTGTGAAGGTATTCTGGACCAGCTTATTGGATGCGTTCTTGCTATTCGACGACTGGAAAGATCAGATGGACGAGGAAGCCCCAACAAAGTTCAGCCCGTCTGGAAACCTGTCAGAAACCACCCAAAAGGTGGCTGGCACCAGGCAAAAAGAAGTGATCAGACGGTGGTAGACACGGCTTAAGGCGCATTAGCCCTGCTGCCAGTCTTTTCCCGTTTGGGCAATAGTCAATTCCTTTCTCTTTCTCACAGATCAAGCTGGTAAGAAACTCCCCCAGATTTTCTCTAATTGTGGTGCTTTGACTGTTGATAGAGGAACGTCCAGTATTATTCCACTCGTCGTTGACGCATACAGGTCGAGGTGGATGCCAACTTGCCTCGCCCATGGTATGTATATACGGACTATCTACAGAGAATCGAGGTGATGATTGATGGTGGGCTGGTGGCAAGACTGGAGCTCGCAGTCCCCACCTCAGTCCTAGCTAGTGAGGGCCCTAACGCCCCTGTGCCTAGTCTAGACTAGTGGCTGAATCTCTTCTTCAGTTGTCAGCGGGGAACCCAAGACTCCAAGGAATCCTGCTAGAACACTGTCGGGGATTCTGAGCCTCTTAGACCTTTCCTTTCGGCTACGTGTTCTGCTGCGCCTCCCTTGGGTGACTACTCAGAGTAGGTCATCGTTATTAGCATTCGGCTAATCGAAATTTATCCCAAAGAATGTGCTCCCAATCATCATCGCTAACCGCTTGAGGGTTGGTTGCACTAAACGGCGTGTATCTGTCTTGTGCCACCGCCCTTTTTTTTTCTGGCCAAGAAGATCGAGTGCTATTGCGACAAAATGATATAGAAGGCCATCTCCCTCCTTTTGATCTATTCTATCCGAATCTGTTTTTCGCCAATAGATGTGGTTGTTGACTGATTCAGCAAAGGTGGAGTGTGCAGGAAGGACGATATGGTGACCGACCGATAATCAAGTCTGAACATTCCACTCAACGTCAGGTTTGCTGGTCGAATTCCATGACCACAGGGCTTTTTTCATTCCTGCGCCCTGAAAACAAGGAAGCGGACGAGACATTTTCAAATGGCGCCTGTTGCTTGTTAAAGCTTGATTGTGTGCTTATATCTATCTCTGGAAAGCGTTTTCTCCATTGGCAGTCGTTGGTGCATCTGATTTCTATCAAAGCGGCATAGGGCCGCAACGCTCCAAGCTCGAAAAACGCAAATCGAAGGGGGAAAACCCGGAATCCCCAGCGAGCCTTATAGGGTTTCAGTACAAGGACGCTTTTCAGAATGGCGGGGGACCTCGACACCAGCAAGATCAAGAACTGGCGTTCGATCGTTACGCTTGTTGTTTTCATCATCACTAGTATGTCTAGAAATCTGGGTACTGGACCGCATCGAACTTGAAGCGACTGACACTTGCAGATATCATCGTGCTTTTTCCCTTTCATATTCCCATCTACGTCCCACGCCCATTCTCAAATGCGGTGCTGGATGTTTTGAGTAAATTGCGAATTATCCCTCTCAGGAAAAATCGCTTTCAACCCGACGATCAGGAAGATGAAAATGGCAAAGTCAAGCCATATGTGCGAATTAACTTCCCTTTTAACTTTGTCACAGCACCGCTTATAGCAGACCTCTTTCTGCTGGCTATCTTGGCAATTGGACGGGAGGAAGTGCGCGGTGGCACGCTTGGGGCCGACAATATCGAGCCAATCGATATCATGGCCTTCTTCCTAACCCTGGCTTACATCGCCATCTCCATCGACGCATCCGGTCTGATTAGGTACCTGGCTTTCAAGGTCCTTCAGAAAGGCGGCAAGGTTGGGCACCGGCTCTTCTTTTACCTCTACGCCTTCTTCTTCGGTCTGGGAAGCTTTATTGGAAACGATCCGATTATTCTCTCCGGTACCGCATTCCTCGCCTATATGACCCGAGTATCAAGCAACATCGTTCATCCAAGGGCTTGGATTCACAGTCAGTTTGCCATTGCCAATATCGCCTCTGCGATCCTTGTCTCCTCGAACCCAACCAATCTCGTGTTAGCTGGGGCTTTCCAGGTCAAATTCATTGAGTACACTGCTAATATGATTGTTCCCGTCGTGGTCACCGCCATTGTCTTGTTTCCCTTTCTACTGTACATCATTTTCGCGGATGAATCTCTCATCCCTCTTTCAATTAAGATGCACGAGCTCACCCAAGAAGAAAGAGACAAGAAGCCCGTGAACCCCAACATACCTCATGCGAGGGGCAGGGCCGATGAACAAGAAGACCTCGCGGACGATGAACAAAAGCTCTCGCTCGAAGAGATCATGAATCCTTTCCTGGATAAAGGGGGTGCTGCATTTGGAGCTCTCATCATGGCGGCCACGCTCATTACTCTGCTAGCCCTCAATGCCTCTGGCCAACGGGGCCACCCTAAACCCGTCTACTGGGTGACCCTGCCGGCTGCGGTGGTTATGCTGTGCTGGGATCTTGCGTTAGGATGGTACCACCGTCGTGAAACGCGCGAGATTGCCCGTAAGGGCCGCGCAGAGATTGAACTGGCCCGAGCGGAGCGTGCCCTTCGAGAGGAGGAAGCCATGCGCGCACAACAGAATGCCGAGGCATATGAACTCGCTGAATCGACAGAAACTCGATTGCAGAGAGAGCCCGACACTGAACCACGCACTGGTGAAGGCAATACGGCCGACATCACCAGCGTACGGCCGTCAGATCGTGTTTCTACGGGCTTTTCGTCTCAGATGTCGGATGGCCAAAGTCAGACGCTGGCCTCTCCTTTAGAATCATCCGTTTCGACACTGGCACCCAAAGATGATCGGTTGCAGAATGGACAATTCACAACTGACGCCATGAGCACGCTGAACGAAAAGCAGGAACTATCCACATCCGCGCCACGGGAGCTGTCAAATGCGACTTCAAGTCTCGAGATGGATGTGGAAAGACGGATATTCTCCGAAAAGGTATCGCACGAGGTCGCATCAGGAAACGGTCGAGAACGGGTAACTCTGGTGTCTCTTGCCGCAGACGTGTACAGGTGGTCGCAGGAGACATTCCCCACCGCTACGGCGGTTGTGTCGCACATGCCATTTGCGCTTGTGCCTTTCTCCTTTGCCATGTTTGTCCTGGTACAAGCCTTAGTCACCAAGGGCTGGGTCCCGGTATTCGCTTACGGATGGTACCATTGGGTGGACAAGACTGGGACCGTCGGAGCTATCGGTGGCATGGGCTTTCTTTCAGTGATTCTGTGTAACGTGAGTTGGCGCTCAATATTGAACCAGTCGGACCCGCTCAGCTAATCTGTCACATTTGCACTAGTTTGCTGGCACCAATATTGGTACCACCATTCTCCTTTCCCGGGTCATACAAGCATGGAAGCAGATTAACGACGAACGCGGCACCTTCATCAGTAACCGGACATTTTGGGCAACTGTGTACAGTATGGCGATCGGAGTCAACTACGGTGCCTTTAGCACTGCTTTTAGCGCATCGTTAGCCGGACTGCTTTGGCGGGATATTCTTGCGAGGAAACATATTCGCGTCCGCAGCCTTGACTTTGCACGAGTGAACCTTCCCATCATTGCCATTTCCATGGCTGTAGGGTGTGCCGTTCTCGTTGGGGAGGTCTACATCATGAGAGATGACTCCCCTTACAATCCACTACCATGAACTTGGAGCGCGAACCGGTTAAATTGCGTCGGGGGTGGGCCCATCCAGCTCATTTCCTTCCTTTGGCTGTTCGAGCGAGCATTTCAGAAGTCGTCTCTTTGGGAGACTTGCGACAACAAAGCGCCTAAGCAAAGCCACTGCCCATGTCAGCCAAAAGGTGACTGCAGTCTCCAGAGACTCTGATCCGACTCTGAGCCTTCCATGGCTGCCGTCATGCGGATTATCAAGTTCGAACGGCTTCGAGAGTGAAGAGATGACGGTATCATCATTAGTTTCAGAGCTGCTCGGCTTGAACGCCAACTTCAAAGGACGAACTGCATACCTGAGGACAGTGATAGAAGACATCTTCCACTGAGAAGAGCCCCACCAAACCGACCCGGTCATGCCCAATTCCATAGTCTTGTTTCTTGCTCTTATGTGTGCTTGGAAGATTTACGACTCTTTACGACTTGACGACTTCCACAACGAGCCATGTGCCCTAGATTTCCAATATATACGCATTTTGATAGACGTCTCTCTGAATGCTCCTTTCCCGAGCAATCAAACTCAAAAGTGAACAATGTCATACGTGAACATCGAACCGAGAAACTTATAATTACTCAGAAACCTTGATTGCTCAGTTGCTCCTAGTCCTAGCCACTACCTTGTGAAGATCCCATGGCTCTCTCCACACTAGAGACAGTAATCCGTATCTGCATATATACGGCCGTACCAATGTCAATCACTACGTGTAGAGACATCTTGAAGTCATGGCTAATTTGCACTCAATGTCCGAGTCAATCCGCAAAGATATTCATCTAGCTTACAGTTCACTATTGCCCGTCTTAGCATCCATGGAGATAGGCGATCGATCACTGGAAGGCACTTTCACAATCAAAGCCGTAAAGAATGTCCTTGGGACTCGTCAACAAATTCAAGGTCTGCAGCCACCTCCGAAGACAATAATCGAATTCAGTACCTACGTTGGTAGCTCCGCCATCGCCTGGGGTGCGATTCTACGCGATTTCCACGGTAAAAATGTGCACGATTGCAACGTCTGTACTTTTGAGTTGAGCCCGCTAAGTGCTCAGGTAGCTCGAGACCTCATTCGCCTGGCTGGGCTGGAAGACCTTGCTCGTGTCCTGTAGGGGCCTGCTGCGCAATCGCTCAAGAAGTTGCATATAGAGGGAAAGGTGAAGCCGAGAGCAGTGGATATGGCGTTCTTCGATCACTGAGAGAAGTACCATTTGCCTGACTTGCAGCTCTGTGAAGAGCTCAATCTTTTTCATAGAGGGTCTCTGGTTATTGCGGATAATACCGATATACCCGGAGCTCCTGACTATCTGGTGTATGTTAAGGCTGGGGTCGAGGAGGGAAGGGGACTGTCCGCTATGATAGCCAGTCATTGCAAGCGGTAGCGGAAGAGGGCCACCCGGTATGTCTCTAGCTGTGTTATTTTTCTAGACAGACGACTAACTCTGCAGGAGAATATCGTCGAGGCTAGCACTGTCGTTGATATTGACCCCTAGACCAGTGTTGTCGTTGGACTGTGAGGATATATTGTGAAGTTGGATAATGTGGAGCAGAAGTCGTTTGACAGCAGCCGCTTTCTCAGCATATTTAATTTGATCCAAACAGCATGAATCTGCGTCGTCGAAATGCCTGCGATTCTTAGTAAAGAATCAAGTCAGAAGCGTACAATATTTAGCAGTCGAGGTTGATCTGTATGCCCCCTAAAACGTAGGAGCAATCCGCCGACCTAAACATTCTATTGGCAGTTAGAGCGAGTCCGCAACAGCTCTTGCTATTTCTTGGGTGCGGAATAAATAACCCCAGCAAACATGGGAAGGTAGCATCTCCTTTCTCCGCATCACCTCAGGTACGGCCAATATTAATGACCATAACGACAACGGTAACGATGACATGAGATCCCCGATCCGATACACACCACGCTTATAAGATACTCAAATCACGAATCAGAGTGATGCTGCACGAGTCCAGGCATTGAAGTCCCTTCCTCAGCAGGACAATTGTCCGAATCCTATCCACCATGTACATCAAATACCTCCCCCCACAGATACACAGCGCGATTGACCAACTCCAAACACAGGGCCGTCTTCTCCCTCATCATCATCAACAAAGCGGGCGGCTTGATCTACCAGCGTGAATTCCAGCCGGGACTGCGCAAACTCTCCACAAACGACTATCTCGTCCTAGCAGGGACCTTTCATGGGTACGTTGCGTCGAGTGTAGAGTGTAACCACCTCGCAGGCGTGGATCACCTTCTTCTGAAGCTATGCTAATAAGAATCGTCCTACGCAGCGTCCACGCTATAACCCGCTCCATCACCCCCAAAATCCCCATCTCCGCGCCCCTCCCAACAACGCCCGCTTCCTCCTCAAACGTCGCCCTATCGTCTCCCTCGGGCACATCCACCCCGACGCCGGCCGCGTCGGCATACAGCTTCCCTAACCCCGGCGTACCAGTGACGGGCCTGGAATCTCTCGAGACGGATAAGTTCCGGTTAACGTGTTTCCAGACGTTGACGGGGACCAAGTTCCTTTTGTTCACCGATCCGCTCATGGCGAATATCGATGCCGTGGTGAAGAAGATCTACGAGTTATATTCGGACTATGTGATGAAGAATCCTTTTTATCAGCTGGAGATGCCTGTCCGGTGTGAGGCGTTTGATCGCCATCTCGGCGGTTGGCTGAGAGGGAGGACATGATGAGTTCGGGAAAACTGAAAATAGACCACATTTGAGCGCTGGCGAATGGACTACGCTTGCTAGTTAACGAAATGGTCAGTGATGGCTGGGAGTACGGCTTTATGGTCATGATAGAATTTGCAATACAATTCATATCCCTTCTTCAAAGCGCGTAGTGGAAGGCACGCTTTCTAGAATTACAAGAGCAGATGTCAATAGAGAGAAACGCCGGGTATGCATTAAAGTCATCCACCATATAGAAGGTCACACGACCCTTTCTTAAGCGGTGTCCATCTTGTCACCGTCCTCTTTCTTGTCTTGGCTTCCACTCGATTCACCACCCGGCTGGCCTTCCTCGGGGATGTTTTCCAGGTTCGCTTTGCGCTCAGCCTCTTCCCTCTCACGCTTCTCCTTCTCCTGTCGATTCTTTTCCTCCTCGAGTGAAAGACGCAGGGCGAATGCGAGCTCAGGGTCGTTTTCAGCAGCGTCCTCGAAATTAAAGCCGCCGTCACCACCTTCCGCACCGGCGCCGCCTACTCCCGCCTCACCGCCCAAGATAGGCGTGGCCTGAAGCTCCTCACTGAGCAGGTTCGGTCCCGGAGGGATGATGGCTAGATTGGAGCCGTCACCACCCTTGACATTCTCCACGAACGCTTCCAATTTCTTGGTTTGATCGGACTCCAGGTCTCCAAAGGCGATAACGTCGATCGACACATTATTCTTCTTCATCTTTTTAGCCAGCTTGACCAGTGTCTTTTCGTCTTCTTCGATAGGGGAGCAGGAAAAAACGATGATGCGTTGTCTCTGAGACTTTTCGGAACGGTGCTTTAGAGCAAGCTAGATCATCAACTTCGTCAGTATCTTCGACGAAACTTGAGATCGAGGACAAATACATACGCCAGCCACCTGTATACTGGAGCTGAGATGGGCAGTGCCATGAATCTTGGTGCGGTGCAGACCGGCGAGAATGCTGCCAAAGTCGGAGGTAAATGTCGAAAGAACTTCAGGACCCTTGCCACCCATACTCATGAGCCCAACAGCAGACTGTGGATGCACGCGCATTTTGGCGCTGTGAATGACGCTGACAGCATCGACCTGTGCTTGCCATCGTGTTGAGCTGCAAGTTGTCAGCCTTTGAGCGACAGAAGCTTATCAACGCTAGGGAAAACCAAGGGATCCTCACGTATAGTCTCCATTTCTGCTACTTTCACTATTATCCACACTGCAAAGAGGTCAGTCAACGGACAGATAGCTCAAACTGAGCTGGAAAGGACGGACATGATCATCGTTGCTTCGAGCGACATCTTGGCGAAGGTCTATTTCGCAATTTCGGGATGAGACAGTATGTAGATATTATTCAATAAGACAGAATTGACTCTTCAAGAATTATAAAAGTTCCGAGAAAAGGCACGAGACGAGTGAGGAAGCTAATAGTGATGGAAGTGATGAAGATGGGCGGAGGTGACGATGGAGGTTGGAGCTGCTGCAGGCGAGATGTCACACTCCGCTCGGAAGCTAACGACGAATTAAGTCAGCGCTTGTTTACTCCCCAGCACTGCCATCAACATCCTCCACGCGCATTCATCGTTCTTCGTTGACCTCCCCCACAACGCTCTGTTCTTTCTTATTGCAATCAATCCACTTGTTCTCATCTAATTACCTATTCGCACACACTTTGTGATGGCTTCTCCAACTAAACGCAAGTCTCCCGACGCAGACCATGACGCGTATCCTAGCGACGATGCCAGAACACCCACCGATGCTCCTCCTCACAAGAAGCTGCGGATAACTCGAAACCAGAAGCAGGCCCTCATCGATAATCTGCAACTAGAGAGTATGGTCTTGTCAACGTTCTGGATGCGCCATCTACTGACACATGGTACAGTCACAGAACGAGCTCGCAAGCTTCGCGCACAATACGCTCTCCAGGCACATGATCTGCGGTCTCGAATCGAAAGGCGCATTAACCGTATTCCCATCGCACTTCGAAAGGCCAAAATGGGTGAATTGCTCGAGAAGCACAATAACTCTCTCCGAATGCAACAGACCGCTCTGTCCCCCAAGAAGCACGTCAGTCCCGGTAAGGGAACGCGGAATCTCACATCTGCCTCAGTCAAACGCGGAAAACAAAGTGTCTCTACTGCAAGCCCAAGCACGCGTAGGGTAAAAAGGCAAAGGTGGGTTACCATGACCCTTAGCAATCTTCCGATCTTATTCGCCTGCTGACGGACTCTGTCAAGTCACGAGGGACTCTATTCGGACAAGGAAAACGCGCCTGCTGCAGGTGACTCCCTTGACGTGCTCAAAAATCCCAAGAGGCGTGCCAACCCGGCTGGCACTTCACGCGTCGTTTCTCAGGAGGTCCGAGGCGCAGATTACCGGATCCTCTCTCCAAAATCTCTGAACTCCAGAACGTATCCGCAGTCACCGTTCCGTGCCTCTCCCGAGAAGCCTCAAAACTCATCATATCTCTCTCGTCCCATGTCGCCCTTGAAACCATCCAGTCCCCTCAAATCGACGTCAGCCAGTGCAGCGGGGAACGCGGATAATGCACGGTCGCGGACCACCAAAGCTAATACAACTACCACAAGGGACATGAGGCCACCGTCTCAAGCTAAGAGACCCGCCAGCCGAGCTGCCACGACAACAAAGAATGTCCGATCTCCGTTCTCCCGCCCTGCCACCCAACTCGAGCGCAGAGGGAGCATCTCCTCCACCGCTTCTTCGGGGACCACTGTGATCAAGCCAGGCAGAGTAGGAACGGGTACTAGGAAAGCAACCACTGCATCTTCTGCCAGTGCTCCTGTTAAGAGGACAACGATCGCCCGCAACCAAGCGCCTTCCGTGGCCGCCAAAAGAAGCACCGCTTCTGCGACCAGAAAGGCCACTGCTCCCGCAGGAGGTGAAGCCTCAGCCACGGGACGCCGAGTCTTGCGCAAGCGAGCGTAAATTTTGAATACAGATTGTTTCCACACACAAAGTGGGAACTACTTACCAGCGACGGTGTTATTTTATCTGGAGTGGTGCAATTGTTTCTCCGGAGGGTCAACCAATTCGAGATTGGGGTTCATTGGGCCATGGTATTTGCATAACTTGCTTGGCTGTCATCTTCAGTGGTTGTATTCCTGTGGCTTTCCGTTTGGGTTTTGTCCTTGTACATTCATGCTTTGCTCGTGGGGTTTCATTGGAGTGTCGGCTTTCGAATTTCAGGTCGGTGGGACATTTAATGCAGAATTTGCGAGTTGGTTGGGCTTCCATCGCTTCCTCTTTAGTTGAAGGCGTTGGTCTCTGGTCTGAACAGTCCTGAAGGGTTTCACTCGGCTTGATGTTGTATGAATCATTTGTGGAATTGAGAGAATCTGACCTTCGCATTGAATATAACTGTTGTCTTTGCCCTTGCTTGCCATTGTCCCTTACTCCGCTCTATCCTGCATAGGCCTGCAAGTGACACTTGGTTCGGGAAAGGATTAAGTCTTCTCATGGCGTCACAATCTCTTCGTGCTCCTGAGGTTACCTCAAGCCAGGAGGACTATTGCCATTGTATTACAGATTTATGAACGCGGTCCTACAGGTCGAGAATCATTGCGGTGGAGCAACAGAATGAGCTTCCAAATCCTAAAGTAGATTACACCTCTTGTTCCTTTTCATGAGGAAATGACACCGCACGAGGACATGTATGCAATAATCGAACAACTTCTGGGGAATATTACCTCAGGGAGGCAGCAAGGGTTAAATGAAGTTGCAAAAAGAAGAATAAAAGTAAAAGGGACCGAGAACAACGAAGCCACAACTTTGACTCAGAACAGGTATCTTTACGGTCGTGCAGGCCACTAAGCGAAAACAACAAAAGACCGAGCGATACACTCACCGTTTACGCACCATTGTTGATGGGATGAAATACCGAACACCAAGAAGGAAGCAATGCGAAGTGAAGAAGAAAAGAAAAGAATAAAAAAGAAAAGTGAGAAAGGTCAGAAAAAAAGGCAGTCAATGTAACGACATGCCAAGGTCGTGGTCTGAAAATAAATCAAAGTAGAAGGTGAAAGGTAGAAGAGAAGATTCTCAGTCGAAGGTGAGATAGCAGGCCAAGAGTCTGATAAAATTGGACCAACAGCCACTTCCACCACCAACCGATCAAAGCCAGAATCTGTGCGAGACAAATTGAGTAACGCGAACCTCGCGGTTGCATGCCCTGCACGGTGAAGGAAGAAAACGTGGGGAGAAAAGAGTTAGAAAAAGCACTGCCAGCAGCTGTGACAAAAACTGAGCAGCCGACAATGTGGAGATGTCAAAACTCAGAACATGCGGACAAGGAGAAAGAACTCCATCCAACCCAAGCAAAATGAGAGAACGCTAGATGGTTCAAATGTACGCCGAAACATCCATTTGCATATCAAAAAGAGAACACGATGTGATTGGTCAGCAAGGAAGACAAACTGGATGCGTCTGAAGATGAAATCCGCAGCGCAATGACATGGGGCAATTCTAATGGTTGGGAAGGACTGGTTTTAAATTAACCAGCAACTCCCATGGGTCCCGCTCCTGGACGAGCCCTGTAAGGGATCTGTTGGGGTTGTCCCTCCTGTGGGATGGGATTCTGCTGGCTGCCATTGCTGGTGCTTCTTTCACGGTAGCTAGCGGTCTGTCCAGGCGCAAGTTCCATTCCATTGTAAGGCGCCGATGCACTGTTTGCGTGGTTGTGTCCACCTGTGTTTTGCACGTGGCGTACTGAGTTCTGCGCCTGCCACGATGCATCCTGAGACTGGTCTGTTTCAATGCGCGCAGATGTAGCAATATTTGCTCCTCGGTTATGAGGGTTTGTGATTGTCACAGTTTCTCCGCCATTGTTGGGTTTCTGAGAGAAGCTTCCTCGCGCGATGTCGCCATATCTCTTCAGAATTTCCTTGGTACTGACTTCGTTGTTATCCTTGATGAATGTGGTGTCGCTAAGAACAGCCTGAAGATCTTCCGGTATCTTAAGGAGACAGTCAGTGAGCTGGTCCACTAGGCATTGGGCTGCGGAAGACCTACCTCGCACATAGTGTCGTTGTAAGTGATAAGAGCATTGACAGCCTCTATTGCCAAGAAGCTTTCATCAACTGTGCTGTTCTTCGTATTTGGATAGAGGATGTTAGGTGTTATGACAGTTGCAAGGTTGTGGATATCCATCTTGCTACCCGTATCCTCATCCACATGCGAGAAAGACGACGTCCAGTTTAGAAAGGCGAAAAGAACTTCCATAGTATCGCGATGAGCCTTGGGCAGCAGACAGCACGTGAGGTGCAGTAACCGCTTTTGCTTTTCGGGGTCAGGTATTTCTATAAATGGTGAGATTAGCAGAGGTTTTGCAATTGGGATGCGGGAGCTCAACTTACTCTGTGAGATAACGAATAGATTATGGAGTTTGAAAGTCAAGAGCGGATCAGGCATCTCGCGGAGGAACTTCTTCAACAAAGCCGCAATCTGCACAGGAGTCTCCTTCGTGAGATCAACCTGGTCGTACTTATTGTCGATCATCTCAGAGATCTCCTTCAGCCGTCGAATATTACCATTCTTTCGGAAAACACCTTCCACTGACATATCCATTTGCCGCATCGCCGACACAGCATCATCAACAAGAGCAGGAACGCGAAGCGCGCCAGGCCCGACGCCATGAGTGGATTCTGTACCCTCCTTTTCGACCAGGAAGTCGAGGCTCACGCCGAACACACCCTTCTTCTTGCCGGCCTTTTTGGCATCTTTGTTGAAGGCGCGACCGAATATGTTCCAGATTGTTGGCTTGCGAGACTCAATCAAGGAGAGTAACTCATCCAATGTGAAGTAGCCCTCCAGCAAAGGTTCCATGGACAAGACAGCGACATGCCGTACGATAAAATATTCGAGAGCTGAGAGTTCAGAGAAGTACTTCTTGGTCTTCGTAGTTCTCTCTGCAAGGTGCGATTCCAAGTTTCCGCTAGACACACCTCGTTGATGACCTTGGTTATACCTGGGAAGCGGCTCAGTCGTACCCACGAGTTTAGTGCCGGCATGTCTGTAAGCGTTGGGACGTTGTTCTTTTGCTTGCTCGGCGGCCACAATCCGGGGAATATCGTCCAATGTCAAAGCGTCCTGATTACCAAACGTCAGGTCGGTGACAGTCTCGCCATTGGCATCTCTTTCCTCCACAATTTGGAAGCCGTGGCCACGGGGATCGGAACCTTCTCCGCCTGAAGAACCAGGCCTGACACTTCGACCCTCAGGACCGTCGATAATTCTTGAAGCCCTAGCTCTCTTGTATGTAGTTGACAGAGTACGCTCGTTCCGAATGGACCGCAAGCGTCGCATCTCGCCCACGGTCTGCTCAAGCGATGATTCAGCAGCACCGTCTCTGCCCGCATACTTCGACCTTGTCGTGGATCTGCGAACTTCACCGCCAGATGGAGGTTGGTTGCCATCTTTGGTCTCACTCACAGCGAAGCTCGGGTCATCTAGAGAAGCAGAGTGTTAACCCATGTCTGACCGGTATTAGCATTGCGATGGAATAACATACCTGAAGTGGGTTGCAAGGTTCCTCCAGCGTGCAAAACAGCAAGAAGCCGCGCGAGTGCAACCCGTAACAGGAAAACAAACTGCTGTAATTTGCTCACACGAGTAAATCCACCTTGAGTCTCATTCACAAGGCCTTGCTGCGAGACGCAACTATTGCAGAAAACCTTTTTCATCCCGGGACTCCAGAGGGCCTCTTGACAAGTATCGGTAAGGTCCGTTTGACATGCTGCACATGTAAGATGAGGCGGCTTGATGTGCCACCTGGAATCACCCAGCATGATACACTCATCATCGATTGGTTCTTTACATGCTGCACAGCAATCAGAAAGCTGGTCGGCAAGACTGGCTACTCCAGCCATGAGATCTGCAGGTGTTTCTTCTTGCTCCGGAGGCCTGAGTGTCTCAATATCTGCCAAGTGATCGAGGAAGTGATACAAGCCTTCGGGACTCTGCTTCTCCCTCTCCAGCTTCAGAGCGCCTTGAAGCCCGATGCGGATGAGGAGCTTAAGGTAGTGGGCAAGACCAGTGACTAATGATAGGAGTTCTTGCGTGACACCTAGTTTCCGTACCCCAGCTTCCTGGGTCTTAGACAGCAAAGCGAAGAAGGCGACAATTTTCTTGCACAATAGTTTGGCCTCACGTCCGTAAGCAAGGTCTGGGTACTCAGTCAGTTCGCACTTTAGTTTTCTATCCTGGAAAGGCGGTACTTACCCTTCATCTCTTGCGCCTTGATGTATCCAGCAAGTTCATCGATGGCTCGGAATAGAACTTCGACGTGACCAATGAATCTCTTAGCAACTAGGACTCCATCCAGATAGGAGCCATTGCTGACGTGTAGTAGCATATCCGAGATGCAGGCAGCTGAAGACTCTTCGAAACCAGAAAGAATGCTCCAGATCCTGTAAACCTTCTCCTCCATCATATCTTCTTCTTCTCGCACTCTATTTCGTTCCTCGTCAGTGGCATCGAGACCTGCCTCAGGAGGCTCCAGAGGCTGGCCATTTGGAGCTAGGCGCACATTCCAGAATTTATGAATCATATAGCACTCTGGATGCCAATGCTGATTCTGACCATTGCGGAAAATCTCCACGAACTGCTTCAGAATCGCTGTATGACACCCGTGGCATCTCTGAGCAAACTGGGTGGAATAGTGGAAATGGCAATAAACCCTGCCCTCATGCTCATAATACGAGTCTTGGGCGCCAAAAACCGTTGGGCAAACGGAGCAAGTGAAATGCTCGATGTGGTACTTGTGGTCTAAGGCGGTGATATAGGAACCACGCAAAGCACCGCCACATTCGTGGCAGAGGAGGTCCAATCGCCGAAAGTAATCCGTCTCACAGAGTGGATATTGTCCGCTTCCGTCTTCAGCGTCGACCGGAAAGAACTTGGATGCCACAATTTGCCCGCAATCCTGTTGTCAGAGGCAGTTAGCTAACAGGACGCGGAGTTTCGTTGAGGCTGACGAATAAACTAACCTGGCACTTGAAACACTCAAGATGGTATGTTGCGCCAAGTGCGCGTACAAATTGGCCCGTCAGAGGCTCGCCGCACCTTTTGCAAATACGCGAACTACCCGGGGATTTTGTGGGCGGACGGCCGCTCTGAGAAGGTCTGTCACGTTGGGCTGACTTCTCCCAATAGCCAGCTCGATCACGCGGAGTTGATGGGTCCCGCTGGCCAGGGTTGTTCGAGTCCAATCTTCGGCCCATGCGACCGTCTGGATTTTGCATCCCATCCACCGGGCTAGTCACAGCAGACCCATTCCGCCCACCAGATCTTGCACGCGGCGAGTCGAAAGTTCTATTACTATCGGCAGGCGAAGTGGGAGTCTGTCTCTGAAAACTACCACCGTGTCCACTGGTATTTAATGTGGGACGGACAGCCCCGTTGCCCGGCACAAGGCTATCCGGCAGTGAGACATCGCCGGGAGGCATATCCGCAAAGAACGGTCTTTTCCGTAATTACTGACGGATGCTCTTCAAAAGTACGTCAATGGAATACCGCTAGTATCGCGACAGGCTTCCAGATCGGTTGGTTATTGTCCGAGGCAATTAATCGTTGTCGATACCAAACAGACAGGCACTGGTTAGGGCGATGGAAGATCTCCGATAAAAGTAGGACGAAATCGGGCAACGAGGTCAATGATGTCTGTTAAGGAAGACATATCAGATCAAAGCACCATGAAGTGTATCATTTATCGATCCGTTTGGAGTGCTTGTGGTTGTTCCCTTAATAACTTACCTCACGCCATGTAGATGGAACTTGCGGGGAAGTGTTGATACTTGAGGGAGCAGCGACCGAGGCGCGTGACCAAGTGACAGTTGTAAGCTCTTCTTTGACTTTCGCAAACGAGCCTGGAATGGTAGCAAGTTGCCGACGACAGTCCTCTGCGGACGCAAATTGCCAGCGTTGAGGGCTGCGAGATCGTGAAAGACCGGGGGTTTCAAAGAGAGCGGCGGAGTATGCTGTTTGATAGGTGCATAACCGTACCCAATCCCTTGAGCAAGACGCCTTTTGAAATAAGAGCTTCAACTTGGTGTCACAGAGCAAAGGTTAGAAAAGATTGACAGGAAATCGAGATCAATCAGAAGAAGCAGACTAACGAGTTGAGAGGAGGTATAGAGGGAGAGAAAGCAGCGTGTTTTGGAAGAGGTGGGAATGTTGCTCGCTGGCGGTTGTTACTCTGCCCCCCTATGCTTCGTCCTGCTGGCTGCCCGCTAGGCGTTATCACGTGAAGGAACTCACCGCCTCCATCACCGCCAAGCGAGGGTCGGTCTTGCTGTGTGCAGGCTACTGCTAAGGGCGTCATATCATCACGAATGGACAGTCCTCATGGTGGGTAAACATTGCAGAAAACGATGTGGGGAATACTTCCGGTACAGGCGCGGCATGAAGATGTAGAAGGAGGCTGGGAGAACCTTAAAAGTCTACGGCTCTAAGTTGAAAAAAGCAATAATGAAGTAAAAGGTTACATGACCCTCAGCTGCTCCGACATTCAGCCCTTGACTTCCAATTCTGAAGAAATAACAATGTCTCTACCCAACCACCGATAAACATCAGGGCAAATCTATCTTCCAATCACCGGCTATACTGATCCCATCTTCCCTGGCAGAAATTGAATGGTCAAGTATGTAGGTATTTACCTGATCGAAGGACATCTTCATAGTCCCGCCATTCTGTGGTACGAGTACGGAGAAGTGGGCATAAACCAACCCGTAAGTTTGTAACTTTATTGTAGAGCGGCCCGAAGCCGCACATCACTCATTTTGTGGAGTATGGATGAACACACCTGTCAAGCACAACAGACCCGAACCAAGGACCAGGCACATGTAGGCGTCTGCGTCTTCTCAGTCAAGTCTGTCAATGATCATACCAACTTATAAATTCTATTGCGAGGCACTTGTGTGTTCAATTTGCTTGTAGATAATTTGTTGACAAGACTCTTAGTGACGGACCGCGGATTGACACAGTTACTGCCACTACAGGAAGATCCTGGTTCCAATTTCTGGCTGCCTGAAGCCCTCAACCTTTTGGAACTGAGCCATACACTGTCTATCTATGGCTGCAGCTTTTTAATAGGAGAGCCAAAACTTTGGGGTTTGAATCATAATTCATCATCTTTGCCTGTATGACTATGATTGCCCCTCATGTCTGAGGTTAAATATATCCTTCCGACCACTGTCTCTTGCTCTTAGGATGTATTGGTGACATGACTCCACTGCCACTGATCATTCATCTTTGGTGCGTCAGCTATCAGTTTTATATTATCACTTTTGCAGAAGTATCAAATCTTCTTCTGTCTGTCCTTATAGTTCTATTATTCACAGTGATTGCGCCTAGCTCGTGTTTATCTGTTGATTTGTTATGCAAACACTTGAGAAAACCCTCTCCTCTCCTTCTCCCTTGTATTTTTGCGACTCTTGGTGTTCCTACCTAGTTCCTTCTCTAAGGACACAAAAATATCTCAGTAATTTCTCTGCTGTATAGCACACGTCTTACAGTCCACCTCACCTTCTATCTCATTATCCTTGTTAATCAACAGGCTTGACTCAAAGAGGATCTCCTTCTCAACAAGGCTCTTTCCGACTGGGCCAAATGCCTGTCATTAATCACAATGTCTGACCAGGCCATACTCCGCATCACTCGGGTACTTCTCTCATCAATCCTTTTCTATCTGTTCCGAAGTATAATGTTGACTAACATCTGAAAACTTCATTCTGGGTATCAGGAAATCAAGCATATCCAGCACAATGCAGATCCCTGTATGTCTTATACACAAGCAAGCTTTGCTTCTCACTTGCAATTTGAAGCCTTACTGACTACTATTTCTTCTTTTACAGCTCTTGCCGTGGCATACAAGGATTCTGATATTCGCAATGTGACCGCTATTGTGTTGGGAACTCCTGGAACCCCTTATCAGTTTGGTTTCTTTGAGGTTTGTGCTCATTCACACTGAAGATGAGGCCCATGGGCTGACAGCCAGCTAGTTCAGTATCAGTTTTGGCAAGGGTACGAACGCCGGTCACTTGGTTATGGTCTACGGGGAGTGTCAAACGGCTGATACTATTTCAGACTATCCTGCCACCCCGCCGATTGTTCAAATTACGACGACCAATGGAGGACGATGCCGTTTCGGGCCTAATCTCTATTCTGGGGGTAAGGTTTGCTTGTACGTCACGAACCGTGCACATGCTGACATAGTTGCGATGCTGACAACATTGGCACTGTAGGTCAATCTTGGGGTAATTAGAACCTGGTGGAAGAATGCTTGCCGATAACGCTGACAGCTTCATCTTGCAGAACCTGGGGTGGTCAGCGCGGGGAGGAATGGTCATCGGCTCAAGGACTGGAGTCTATTCTGATCTCCATTCAGAGTCTCATGTCAAACAATCCTTATGAGAATGAACCTGGATATCAAGGTGCACATGCACCCGAGGATCAGGAAAACAGCCAGGCTTATATTGAAAAGGTAAGTTGCCTCAGGTACAATGGCTGACTGTGTGCTTACCTTGCCCTGAGATACGTCACGAAACTCTTCGCATTGCAGTTATCCAACCTTTGGAATCGTCACTGGGCATTCAGTCGGACGGAACAGCCAAGCCATCTGAGAGCAAGAATGTAGCCGAGGATGATGACTGTGATGACTCGTTCGATGACGAAGACGACACTTTCTTCGAGCCCTTTGCAGACCTTCGCAAGAGACGCTTCTTGTGGTACTTTGACTCCTACATGCAGGCGATCACGGAAGCAGAACCACAGGTTAGACGCCGCCAGAGATTTGAAACCATGCCTTTCGAGACCGAAGATAATTGCATGAGGGGCCATTTTAATTATCCCGAATTGAGACGCCGACTCATCCGCGTAAAGGAAGCCATCCTCAAAGAGACGCGCAATTGGCCAATAGAAGGTCTCGAGGCGAAAAGGCAGGAAGCTAGCCTTGCGGTGAGTCTGCAAAGTCAGTACGAGCAGATTGTTGAGGATTTCAAGCATCGCCACAATTTCACAGTGGACCTGCGCCTCGTCCATGGAAACCCTTTCCTCTGGGAATTGATCTACTTTGGTGGTCCCATGACCCAGCTTGATGGTGGTGTGTTTAAGATCAACATCTATCTGAGTCCACGATTCCCGGAAGAACAACCCCGTGTCGTCGTAGAACCAGAGCTCTTCCACTACCGGGTGTCTAAGGACGGAACGCTGTGCTATTTCCCAAAACGTACAGAGGAAATGCGCCATCATATCGAGGCAATCGTGGAAGCACTCGAAGAGGAGTCCGCACCTTATGACCCGCGGAGAACCGTGAACCCAGAAGCATCCAAGTTGTTCTGGGGTAGCCCTGAGGATCGAAAGAACTACAACCGTGCACTCCGTCGCTCGGTGCAGAAGAGCGTAGAGTGAGGTTCTTGCGAGCTCGAAATGCTTCAAGACAACATGTAAGAATTTGTCCAAATATTTTCAACTGTCCCGAAGAACCTTGGAGGCTCGGTTCCTGGGCTTTAACAACCGGTCTGGAAAATCCAAGTCGCCAAACGATGGTATAAGGACTGACGGCGCCAACCTCCTGTCCTTATACCATCCCGTCGCGCGCCTCTATGGCTCTGCCAAAGCTTTTGGCGACAGGAGACACTTTTCATTTGCGTGGGGCCGAGAGTCCATGATTAGTTTGGACCCAGGTGTCGGAAACTTACGATTGAAGGCGCGACAAGCAAAAAAAGACTATTGTTTGCTAGGTTTACTTTTGCATCAATTTTATCTAGCAATACCAGCCGTTCTAGGTGTCAGGTAGCTTCAGTTCACAGAAAAGCTGTTGTGATCCACATTTTGTAGGCATAGTATCGGAGGTTTTGTGGGGTGTTCTGAGCTTGTGCCCCAGAAAGGGATCTCAAGGCGGCACCGACCTTAATAATCATCTAAATGGCCAAATGATGCCAACGCCCCCTATCTAAGTTCAATCGCCAGGTTCTCGAGCTCACTTTCTTCACCAAACCCGAATATCCCCATCTAGTTCTTCAGTCGTATAAGAAAGAATATCCTTCGATCGATTGACCGCCCCCATGTCTCAGAAGCGGCCTACTTTAGAGCTGGGCTCTGTTCTGGTGGTCGGAGGGTGCGGGTTTCTAGGCTGGCATATTGTCGATCAATTGCTCAATTTTCCTTCGGAGACTGATGCGAGCGTTGCCCTCCCGAAACCAGAAGGAGACTCTCGATTCGATAATCCTCGGTTGGCCGATCGGTACCCTAGGTGCGTAGCGAAGGTCTCCGTTCTCGACTTGCGAACCGCCAACAATCGCCTGCCCGGTGCAGAGTACTACGACGGCGACATCACGTCCGAAGAATCCCTGCTGGCTATTTTCCGCGCGGTCAAGCCGGATATCGTCATTCATACCGCGACGGCGAACGTGTTGGAAGGAAATAAGGAGCTGCTGCGCAAGGTCAATGTCGATGGAACCAAGACGTTACTGGAGGTCGCGGGCGGTGATCGTGGTGACTGGGGTGGGAAGTGCAAGGCCTTTGTGTATACAAGCTCGGCCTCCGTCCTGCACGACACACAGAGTGATTTGAAAAATGTGAACGAGGATTGGCCGCTCGTTCGGGGCAAGCTACAGCTGGAGTACTACTCCGATACCAAGGTTCGCTTGTAAACACATCTTTTGCCGTGCTGGGTTTTACTAACGGACATCAATCTGCCTAGGCCGAAGCCGAAGAAATAGTCTTGAAGTACAACCGCGCTTCTCCCTCATCCATGGTGACATGTGCTCTGCGCCCCGCAGGTATATACGGTGAGAAGGACACCACATTTACTTTCAAGGTCCTTGAGCACGCGGCCAAAGCATCTCCGACCGTATTGCGCATGCAGCTTGGTGATAACAACAACTTATTTGACTTCACATACGTTGGCAATGTCGCCTACTCTCATCTGCTTGCCGCATACCGTCTTCTTGCTACTCAGACGCGGTATGAGGCCGGGCAAGGCGGCCCCCTAGACCACGAGAAAGTAGACGGAGAAGCCTTCAACATCACAAATGACTCTCCGGTGTACTTTTGGGACATTACTCGCGCTGCATGGGCGCTGGCAGGAAAGGTTGTGGAGCCTGGCCAGGTGTGGCAGCTTCCCGAGGATCTTCTCGGGCCAATTGGCGGCCTCTTGGAGACAGTATTTGGCCTCATCGGCAAGACTCCCCGTTTGACAAGGCGCATAGTCCGGTACTCATGCATGACTCGCTACTACTCTTGTGAAAAGGCCAAGTATCGACTCGGGTACAGTCCAATCGTCTCGGTCCCTGAGGGTCTCTCCCGCGCGGTTGGATATGTGCTGGAAAGCGAACGATTGGATTCTGAAAAGAAGGGGCTGTGAAGATTTTAGGTCGATATGGCGTATATGTATTGTAATATATGACTAATTCTTGTGACATTCCCCTTGGCTTTGTCCAGTTCATAGTTCTTCATGCAAAGCCACACTTGCTGATGCTATTCGTGACAGACTTTATGAAGAAATTCTCATACTACCAATCGAGGAGCTAACAACAGGACATTCTTTATTCATCTGAATCACAGCGAAGATATTGTAGGTCAAATCGTCCGCATATGGGCTGAACCAGCTTTCCTGTCATGACAGTTCAACAGATAGTGTCACCAAAGCTTCCTGAGCAGTACCCGGAGCAACTTGTCCTGCTTCGCAAGATGTCTACTAAAGACTCTTCTTGTTTCCCTGGTATACTTCTCCAACGCCCTGAGACTCTGGAACTTTGTCGGTTTCTTCTTCAAAATACGACAATCGAGAAGATCCACAATATTGACATATACCTTCGACAAAGCCTGAAGAACCAAATCAGTATCCCGGCCTCCTGACCTTCCAGGCAGCATAGCATACCTTCTTGCATTGCCTGATAGACGTGAACGGCCCTGTCAGCTCCAGTTCCTCGCACAATTGCTGCCAGTCCGGAAGTCCGCTGAGGTTCTGTCCAAACAGTCTATCGTACTCTAGGGCCATGCATCGGTTCCACATCCTGCGCCACGTTGTTGAGCCCATCTTCCATTTTCTGTGGCTTGCTAGACGGTTGAACTCAGCGCTCACTGAGGCATCTGCGTTGGGCTTGAAGTCCGGGAAGTCGGTGAAGAACGCGCGTGTGTTCGCTGCCATTGCAGGGGAGTCTCCTGGTTGCGCTATCGCCCGGCGAGGTCATGAATTCTTCGCTGGGAGGGTTGAAGGTCGAGCGGTTGGCCATAGTAAAGGTCTAGAAGCGACCAGGAACGCTCCATTCCGAAAGCCTTAGTAGCTCTTTTTATGTGTCTTAGTGGACTAAGAGGCTGTCTCAGAGCTATTGCTTGTCTTGGGGCCGTCAAAGAAATGTTGCATTCACAGTTGAGTGTGACTTTGTTAGTTGTCTGACTAATTCATATGACAGACTTTGGCCTCTTCGAGAGTGAGGATTGACAGGACAGGAGCAGAAAGAACTACCCTAGTGCCACTCAAAATTGACTACAAATGAGTTGCACCTGTGATTCACCCGTCCAGACAGTTTCACGCCGCCATCCATCTTCTAGCAGCGTAAAATTAAGCTGTTCTGTTCTCTTGTCTACTTGGTTTGTCTCGACGAGTCATTGAAATGCAGCTCCCTTTCCCCTTGGTCAGCTTCTTGGGCTTGCTTACAAGTGCTCTAGAAAGCTGGACAGGCGGCTTCTCCGGCACTTTGGGTAATGATGAGACGTTCGACTATGTCGTTGTCGGTGGTGGTACTGCTGGGGTGACTCTCGCGGTTCGTCTGGCTGAGCAGAAACTCCGGGTGGCTCTCGTTGAGGCCGGGGAAACATACGAACTCAGGTCCCCAGTAGCAGCCATTCCTGGCGCCGCCAGTATAGGTGTTGGCTCTGATATTCAATCCTCCACAGCAATTGACTGGAAGTTTGTGGCTAGAAATGTCACAGGTGCTAATCACCGTGATATTCATTATCCCCGAGGCAAATGCCTTGGAGGATCGTAAGAGCATCGCGCTACTTTGCCTTTTTCGAAGCAGCGGCTTATTTTACTAACTTGATATTCTGCATGGACAGGTCAGCTCTGAACTTTATGGCCTACCAAAGGTGATACAAACTTCGTTCTCTAATGCCGATTCCAGGAAATAGACTGATAGGAGTTGTGCTAGACCAACTAGGGAGTCGATGCAGCTTTGGGCTGATCTTGTTCAGGATCAGAGTTACACTTTTGACAACACTCTGCCCTATTACCAGAAGACCGTTCAGTTTACGCCCCTGACACGCTGCGACGCGCCGCAAATGCTACAGCGCAATACAATCCTGATGCTTTCGCTCATGGAGGACAACGCCCACTTCACGTATCTTACCCTGTTTACGCTATGCCCTTTTCGAGCTGGATGAGACTTGGAGTGGAAGACGTGGGTATAAACGAAACGTTGGACTTCAACAGCGGGTCATTGCTCGGGGCTCAGTATTGCAGCTTTACCATTCGACCGTCTGATGAGACAAGGAGCAGCTCGCAAGCCGCCTTTCTGAGCCCGCTACCTTCATCAACTTACCTGAAAATATATCAGGGTACGATGGCAAAGAGAATACTATTCAACCCACAAAAGCAAGCGTCTGGGGTGCAAGTGAGCGATCTACTGCGAACTTTCACCCTCAACGCGGAGCGAGAGGTGATGATATCGACAGGTGTATTTCACACCCCGCAGCTCTTGATGGTTTCTGGAATCGGGCCGGCCGATACTCTTTCAGAACACGGCATTGATGTTGTTCAGGATGCCCCTGGTGTAGGTCAGAATATGTGGGACCATGTTTTTTTCGGACCAACGTACCAGGTAGCTCTCGAGACTTTCACGAAAGTGCCAACAGATCTATCATATCTCACACGGCAAATGGCTCAATATATATTCTCCCATGGAGGGGTACTCACCAATCCAGTCATCGACTACCTTGCATTTGAGAAGATGCCGGATTCCTTTCGTTTGAACTTCTCAGTCCAGACGATCAAGGACCTTTCGTGGTTTCCGGATGACTGGCCGGAGATCGAGGTTGGTCATCTCGATGCGTTGATTTGTTGACGCGTAACTGACTTGCTTCTTTCTGTGCAGTACATTTCATCAGCTGCCTACGTGGGAAATTTCTCGAATCCTCTTATCTCGCAACCCTCGGGTGGTAAGCAATATGCAACGATCCTGGGCACACTTGTTGCGCCGACGTCTCGCGGAAATGTGACTATTGCCTCGAATGATACCTCAGATCTGCCTATAATCAACCCAAACTGGCTCTCATCAGAGGCGGATCAGCACGTAGCGATTGCGGCATATAAGCGTATCCGTGATATGTTTCACAGCGAAGCCATGGCGCCGATTGTTGTGGGAGATGAGTACTTCCCGGGGAGTCAGTATCAAACGGACGCAGAAATCCTCGGAGTTATTCGCAATACAGTGATGACTATATATCACGCTGCATGTACTTGCAAGATGGGAACACAAGACGATCCTATGGCCGTCCTCGACAGCCGGGCCAGAGTCTTTGGTGTCGATAGGTTGAGGGTTGTGGATGCCAGTGCATTTCCCATCCTGGGGCCAGGACATCCTCAGTCCACTGTCTGTAAGTAGCAGGGATCTTTTTTCTTCTGTGATCATTAACTCAACCAATTAGCAGATATGCTTGCGGAGAAGATTGCAACCGACATCATCTCCTCATTAACCTGATATCTCTCTCGGCAGGAGAGTTCACGCATAGCCCTTTTTTGCCACAGAAGTAGGAGATCATGTTTTATGGACGGACATCTTCCTGATCTGTATCCGTCTTGATCAGGCACGATCTTCTTGAAGCTTTATGAATAGGTATCCTATAGAACTTGCTAATATACATATTCGGATTAGTTATACCTTGAGAGCACAATGGCATCAATTAACTGCTCGACCTCGTCCTAGGGGTCCTATGTATTTTGACGACTCAGGCCACAAAGCGCATATAATATTCTGAGTGCTCAATATCAGCATGCAAATGGACGAACATCCAGTTGCAAGCCAGGTTTTCATCCAAGTACACAGAGGCCAAGAAGAGTATTCCATATCTCGGATCGTACAGCAGCCTGCGGCCCTCCATGGCGTTTTGAGGATAGTATACGTTGACTTTTCCACGCAATCCGCAGATTCCATCCCTTTGTGACACGGCGACATCAACAAATCATGATTCGCGGGCTCTTTGTACCAGCGCGAAGGGGATCGACTAGAGTAGGGTGTCACGGGGGATATCCGCATGGCATGGAATCGGTTCGTTGGCGAGAGGACTACCTTTGGGACGAGTAATATGACGGGGTAAGGTCGATCAGCAATGGCCTGATAATAATGACGAGGGCTACGCGCGTAGACAATGAAGATCATGAATCATTTCCATCACTCTATGCCTACTCAGTACGTATCGAGAAATTTAGCGATAACAGTCATGGTCTCAGGAAGGAGACAGACAGTACCGTCGTTCGACCAGGCTAGGTGAGATGGAATCCAACTTGGTCCATTGATCTCTGAAGGAGACGTTGAAGTGTAGGACGGAGTAATTGTTCTGTGGATAGATATAGAGCCTACTGCCTACCTAAGGTGAAACTTACTAGGGGTGCTTGCTTATAGTTATGTGGAGGAAGAGCTCCCCATTTCGTCCAGTCATGCTCCAGTACATAGCTGTATGTCATTCGTCCCCACAAGAGGATGCTGATCGGCTCCGGCTAGGTATTTCTGGGGTAATGATGGACAATGCCGATTTGAGGGTTGCAATGTCGACTTGCTGAAGTTTGAGACGAAGATGATCGCTGGAGGATCCATGGAATAGACAATGATTGATGGAGGCAAGGAGGAAAGTTCGGGTCGCGGACAACGGACATTGAGAGAGAATATTCTAGCGAAGATTTTGGGCAGCTTTTTTTCAAATGTAATTCGTCCTGAACGGTGAGGTTAAGCTTAATAGGCTTTGCTGAGAATTGGGGGGATTGAAAGTCAAAATGAGGCGTTTGACATTATGGGGTTGGCTGCTAACTGGGAGATAGGAGTATGCTGTGTCAGATTCAACGCTTCCATCGTCATGGATATACAATCTGATTACTTTAAAAGTACATAGTAAGTAATGAAGATGGAATTGGATGCGTCATGGGAGAAGTCATGCATACTTTGGTAGGACATAGGTAGGGAGTGATCGATGAGAGACAGGATGGATGCTTGCGGCCGAGTTGCAATTCCCCGCCCTTTACCCCGCATACGCTCAACTGGTCCTACACTCCTACTCCTACGCCGCCACGTATTAACGACCTCCAAAGAAAGTAATATTCAATCACTATGAGTTTTCTCCCTGGCATACTAGAATAACTTGATTAATCCAAACATGAGATAACCCAGAAATACAACGCGAAACATTGTTCAACGCTGGAGGCCAGTAGGAATCATCTCCGAGCAATCCGCCTCCTGGTGGCCAATGGCCACGAAATTCTCAGTGTACACCTTTCAGACAGGGCTAAAAAAAAGAAAAAAAAAAGGGAAATAGATAGATTAGAAGGGAGATTCTATCATGGGTTATTGCTATGACTACCATGGCCCGATCGGCAGATGATAAACAACTACTTCATCCTTTACAAAGGCAAACATCCAAAAAGCGATACCCTTGCATAAGCACTGGTGCATGATTCGTCCTTCGCCTCACTGGTTTATTTGGTCGATCCTCTTGTCTAATCTCTTGGGAAGTGTCAGAGTCACCTGTCTCATTCCAGTCGAAAAGTTACATCTTAAGAGGCGATACCCCTGGATTGAGCTAGGTCAAGTGCTCTGGGGAAGAAACGAGATCCATGGGACAGAACGGCCATGACGAGAGTTGACGTTGCAGGTGTGCCCCGATCAAATCAGCAGCCAGCATTTATGGCATACCCATGCAGTTGAGTTAAGAAAGTTCAGTACTAGTAGATACCGTTGGTAAGGTAGTCCAATCTTGTATCCCCGCCTAGGAGACAGAATAGACGGACAAGACTGCCAGAAAAAAAAAATGTCAACGTGCCTAGTAGCTATTTTTGTGTAGGGAGAAACTATGAAGTAAGAACAAATCCTAGCACAGTAAGGACATGCAGATCTAGATTCCACAGAAGAGGGACCAGGTCTGGGTGGTTTGGGATTAGCACGGCATGGATGTTTAATGAATGCACGCATCGTCATCTACCACCCACACTGGATATATACAGACGAACCAACGCATAATGGCCATTTGAAGAATGACAAGAGGTGGCGGCCAGTGCCTGTTGGGGTAGGTCGTGTGGTCGGAATGATATCCCTGGAGGGGGAAGACAGTATGAGAGAAGCAACCATGTGCAGAGGAGGTGGGAGGATTCTGGATGATTGAGCTTTTTCTCATAATGACAGCGAGAGTTCAGTACATTTATTCAAGTAGATAAAGTATGAAAATAGTACATAGGCTCCCTTGGATAAACAAACTACTAACTTACCACGACTAGTTTTATAAGTTTATAACCATACAAAAATAATAACGCTAAATAACCATGAGAGTGCAATCATCAGATAGATAGACTCACAAAGTAAAGTCAAGAGGATAGCATCGTGCCATCGGCTAGTCTATCACAAGTGGACCACCTATTTGCTGATCAATCACCTTCAGAAACATCAAACCAATTGTATTGCCTGGATAGAATCGTGTTGAGACTAAGTTTCTCGTCCTATGGGCTTAACCTTGCATGTATTTCTACTTTTCTAGCAGTAGTAAAATGATAAAGGAGGATTAGAATCTTGAGGTCGTTTTTCCCTCGAGAAAGTAAAATAATAGAAAGAGAGGGAGATTGTAAGGTATCTAGGTGTTGCACTGCTGTTGCGTTTTCCCGCCCAGAGTCTGAGTGTTTCGTCTTGTTTCGTCTTTTGGCTTGTTCCCTTCCATATTCATCCTCAGCTAACCTCGATTCTTTTCCCCCTCTTCCAAACCACCTTATCTATCTGCTTACCATCATCAATTTCCTTTGTGTTGTCATTTTATTGCTTCAAGTTAGCACACAACATCCAACTTCTGATTGAGTCAATCACCTCTCCTGAGGGTTGACTCTGTCGATCACCCTAGTTTCGCGTTTACACCTTTCCGTCGCGCCATTCCCCGCATAGCCGCTATTCTCCGTCCAATTTCACTCCTCCTTCGACCTTGAATCTTCGTCTGAACCAAAATTTGTCTATATCCTTCGCGTTTGGGGCAATCCGTCTCCTCTGCTACTTGCTTTGGGAGATACGGTTGTCTCACAACGCCTGTCGTCGTCTGTCATCCCTCTCCCTTCTCGCCTGCGTACCCCCGCGACCCAGCCATGGCCCGTTAGTCCTGCGGATGCATTCATAACACCGCACGAGGGCACCGGCTCTGCCCGGCAGACGCTCTGCTCGGCTTACTGTATACTCTCGGTTTATTTGGCTCGCTTGATTCTGCCTCGCGGCTGTACTCACAACACGTCGTCTACGCCGCTCTCGGCCCTCAATTCGGTCGGGTGGACCTTTCAGTATGGCGGGAAATGGCACACCCAGTGCCCAGTTCCTTGCTCCCCCGGCCGTTACTGCCTTAAGGCAGGAGGCTCGGGGGATCGATCCGAAATTCCCACCCATGACTCGTTCCCTTAGCGATGATATGCGGGAAGAACGCGAGGAGTTGAAGGAGGCGGCGGAGCAGACCTTGAACGTCATAGTGGATTTGGATCTGGACGGCCGCATCAAATGGGTCAGTCCATCATGGCGACAAGTGGTGGGGACATCTCCTGAATCGTTGGAAGGGCGAATGATCTCGGATTTCCTGGTCGACAATAAGACTGCCTTCCACGATGCTATTGAATCCATGAAGGAAGACGACTCTCGCAGTCGCTTTATTCGCTTCGGTGTGAGGATGGGCCCCGAGTCAATACTGAAATACTCGCCCGAGCCCCGACCAGTCCATACGGTGACAGAAGAAAGCGGTGTGGGTTCTCAACCGTCGAAGGAAGTAGACAACTACCATGACGTCTTGAGCATGGAAGGGCAGGGCATTATGGTATTTGAGCGAACGCCAGATGGGACCGGCCATGTAGGTTTCCACTCATCCCGACCTAACGCGTTAACCCGCAGAATGACAGACTAACGAAGCTCTGATTTCAGACTATGTGGATGCTACGACCTTTCCATCAACCCCGAGAAGTGACTATTGATCTTCCTCCTCTGTTGGTGGAGTCGTTGGGAGTCGGTGCTGAAGTACTGGCGAACTACTTGACAACTCTCGCCGAGGCTGCGGCGAATGAACCCGATCCCTCGAAGTACCCTGCGCCCAATCCGGTTCTCTGTCGCATTTGCGAGCGTCAGATCACCCCTTGGTGGTTCGAGAAACACTCCGATCTCTGCCTTCAGGAACATCGGGCAGAGATGGACGTTCAGATCGCTCAGGAAAATCTTAACGAGCACCGTCACGCGATCGTGAAAGTCCTAGATGCACTGGAGGCTCGACAAAGCAGGCCTCTGGCGGGAGAAGCGCCTTCCCCGACACCACAGCCGGAGTATAAAGGACTAACAATTGGGCCATCACCAGTTGTTTCGGCACCCTCTTCCGGAAATGTTTCAAACTCTAGCTCGGCTCCATGCACTCCCCCGCGGTCTCGCGAACATTCAGCTTCGGATGGCGGCCATTCACGCGGTCGGTCATTTGCGGTTCGGCGACCGTTGAC